TCAAAATATATCTAATGAAAATTTGCACTCATAGATTGTGCAAGACGTGGTGCCACCCTACACTCCACAACAAAATGGAAATGTAGAAAGGAAGAATAGAACCATCATGAATATGGTGAGAAGTATGTTGAAAGGAAAGCATCTACCCAAAGAATTATGGGGATAAGCTATGTCGACTGCAACATATATTTTGAACAAATGTTCGACGAAAAGGCTAGAAGGAATCATGCTAAAAGAGTGTTGTTCTGGTGTCAAGCTTAGCTTGAGCCATCTGAATGTATTTGGATCTATAGCACATAGACATGTTCCATATTAGTTGAGAAGAAAACTTGATGACAAGTTGAGTCAAATGATCCTAATAGGATATCACTCGACTAGAGGATACAAGTTGTCTGACCTAGTGAATAAGCAAGTAGTGGTCAGCAGGGACACAATCATATATGAGCTTAAGGAATGGGATTGTACTGAAAATGAAAAGAAGGATTCAGTGAGATTCTTATGTGAAGAACTATCAAGTGAAGTCGAAAGAGAAGTTCAACAAGAAGAAATCAGAGGTCAAGCAAGCACAAGATGACCTCAAAGAACAAGACATGTGCCTGCAAGGTTGCAAGAATTTGTGATTATATCAATTGATGTGGTTGATGATGAAGGTGAGTTGATACACTATGCTTTATATGAAGATGTCGAACTAGATAATGCAGCTGAGTTATTGAAGGATTCAAAGTGGAAGAAAGAAATGAATAAAGAACTAAAATCCATTGAAATGGGAAGTAAATCGACATAAGGAAAGACTTGTGGCGAAAGGATTTCTTCATAAATAAGGAATCGAATTCGATGAGGTTTTTGCTCCTATTGCTTGGATCAAAACAATCAGATGGATGTGAAATGTGTATTCCTAAATGGACCCTTGGATGAAGAAGTTTATGTTGCACAACCAACTGGGTTTGTTAAACAAGGTGAAGAAAATAAGGTATATACGATGTATAAAGCCCTATATGGACTTAAGCAAGCTCCAAGAGCTTGAAATAAGAAGATAGATAACTTTCTAAGAGAAAATGGATTTGTGAAGTGCACAACTAAGCATGAAGTATATATAAGAAAAAATAACAGTGATTGCTTATACTCTGCCTCTATATCGATGACCTGTTGATAACAAAAAGTTGCAAAAAGGAGATCGGAGATTTCAAACATGACCTAAGTGAGGAGTTTGAAATGTCAGACTTGGGAAATCTCTCATATTTCCTTGGAATCAAATTCTACAAGAGTGGTAGAGGTTTGATGACGCACCAAAGATGACATGTAGGCGAAATACTCAAGAGATTTGAGATTTGAGATTGCAACCCAACTTCGAATCCAGCTAAGCCCATAATACAACTTCCAAAAGACACAGATGAAGATGATGTCGATCCAACATAGTATAGGAGACACATTGGATCACTTCGATAACTTTTCCACACAAGGCCTGATCTAGCATATAGTGTAGGAATGGTAAGCAGGTTCATGCAGAAGCCAAATGTATCACACCTAACAGTGATGAAGAGGATACTAAGGTATCTGAAAGGAACTCTCGACTATGGCATTTTGTTTCCTGTAATTGATGAAGGAAAAGAATTCAAGTTAGTGGATACACTTACTCAAGTTGGTGTAGTGATGCTGAAGATAGAAAATATACAGTTGGACATGTGCTTATGTTAGGTGTTGCACCAGTTGCTTGGAGTTTAAGAAAGGAACCAGTAGTGGCACTATCATCGTGTGAAATAGAGTACAGAGCTACTTCTCTCTGTGAATGTCAAGCAACATGGATGGTGAATTTGGTCGGAGAGATTACAAGGAAGAATTATAGAGCAATTACCATGAAGATCGACAACATGTCTGCTATCAATCCTACGAAGATTCCAATAGCACATGGACAAATCAAGCACATCTAAATGAGGTTCCATTATCTTCAAGAGCAAGTGGAAAAAGTGAAGCTGAACTTGGAACACTGCAGAAATGAGAATCATATTGCAAACATCATGGCGAAATGAGTGAATGTCGAAGTTTTCAAGAAATTAAGATCTATGATAAATGTATATAGCTTAGATACAATGAATTAGGTGGTGTGTTGAGAATTGTAATTTCTTGTGTCTAAGCATGTTGATAGACAAAAGCAACGAAGTGTCAAAACTATGTGAATGTTGAAGCGTCGAAGTACTGTACCTCGACAGAAATTTCGATTTAGGTATAATTTTGTAGTGTTAGCAGAATTAAGTATTTTGGGTTTTGCTTAAGGAGCAAGCAAACCCAAATCTGTAAATAGGAAGTAACCCCTATCATTCTAATATAACTTATAGTTGCAAAGAATAAAAATTCACTTTGGAAGCAGAGAGAAGCTCTTCAAAAAATCTTTTCTTCTGCCCTTATTTTGCCCAAACCCTAATTTTTTTCTTCTCCAAAATTTCATCTTTTCTTTCTTCTTCCATTAACAATAGTGTAGCAAGAATAATCTTGCAACCAAGGTTGGTTGATTCACTTAAGTTAAGAGTGAAGAACAAGTGGAATTTAATTGGGGTGATTGAATCTTATTCATCAAGATTACAGTGGAATTCTCCATAGGTTTTTGGGTGAATTTCCAACAGTCTAAAGTGTGCAAAAGTAAAATTGAAAGGGGGTGTCTTAGCATTAAAGATGTAAGTGAATTCAACAAAGCTTTAATGTCTAAATGGATTCGGATATTTCTTAAAGAAGATGAGCCAATTTGGAAGGGGTTATTGGAGCATAGGTATGGAAATCATAAATAATGCTTTTGGTCAAATGATTTAAGAAGTAAGAGATAAAAAATTTCTTTATGGTGTAGGGATTTTGCCAACAATAGTGGGAAGGAGATTTTCAATGGTTTCTTGAAGCATTTTCTTTCAAGCTAGGATCTGGTGTGAATATTCCATTTTGGCCTGCAAAATGGATTGGTCAAAATTCCTTGGCACTACAGTTTCCTCACTTATACCAAGTTCGTATCAACAAGCATATTAATGTAGGAAGTATGGGTGGATGGTGTCAAGATGATTGACATTGGTGTGCACAACTCAACATTATGGAGCAAGGATCCCAATAGGAAATAGTTGCAGAAGAGCTAGAGGCTCTAAATCAGTTATTGGCAGAAGTTGTTCCAAGATGTAATTTGAATGATGATGTGGTCTAGATTAGTGCTGGTGAAAAAAATTATGTCAAAGATTGTAATGTGAAAATCATGCAGGGCCTTGAGGATAGCCAGGTGGAAGAAATTATGAAAAAAGCATTGAAGTTGATATGGAAAACTAACGTTCTTGATAAAGTAAAAGTGTTTTGTTGGCGCCTTTTCCAAGACAAACTTCCAACAAGATTTTTGTTGCATTTCAAAAACATCATTCATAATCCACATAATGTGGCGTGTGTGTGTGTGTGTGTTTGTGTGTGTGTTTTGTTTTCAGCAGGAGGAAGACATTGAACATTCGTTTATGAGATGTATTGTGGTGCAAAATGTTCGGCTAAATGTCTGTTCTTGGACTAGTTTTGACATAAGTTTCGAGGTGTATATCATATACCACTTTTTGAGGTTGAGAAAGAATTAGGTTGGGAAGATCAATTGCATGCAGTTGAATGTCATCTGGATGACTTTTTGTTGGATAGTGTGGAACAGAAGAAGCAATATAATTTTTAATAATGTAGTAGCTAGTATGACTGAGCTAAATTTCAATATTAAGGCTCTATCTTGGTTTTGCCTTAGTATAAATTTTAGTTCCAATAAAAAATGTAACTTTTATGATTGGTACAAAAATCATCTTTTTTGTCTAAAACTTATTTGATCATTTGTCTGTAAGTCTTGGCCTGACCTTTTGTTGTTGGGTTATAGTATCTCTAATTAGCCCCGACCTTTAGCACGAGCAACAGGTGCTATATCTTTGGCCCCAAATTTTGAAGGCCCACATATTTTTTTAATTACTACAACTATATATTTTATACCTGTTTTTTTTTAAATAAATGTTAAATCATAGTGTTTTTAAAATCTATTTTATATCTGTTTGTTAAAAATAAATATAAAATTACATTTTATTTTCAAAATCTATTATTTTATATCGACTTTTTCAAAAATTAGGTATAAACTCATATTCTTTTAAATCTATTTTAAAAATTAGATCACGAGAACAAATTGATATCTCTAATACACTTTGTTAATACTTTGCTTATTAAAAAAAATCTCTTTGTTCACACAAAAAGTGGTATATCATTACCTCTTCATAGTTAAGTAGTCACACTAAAGTAAAAATAAAATTAAGTAAAGCAACCCATTTGCAAAACAAGATAAAAATAAAATTGCTCATGTGCTACTTATAGATAACAACAAGAAAATGGAAATTTAATAGAAAATAAGAAAACATCATTTAGAGATTAGCATTATTGCGTTCCCGTCTATTCTATCCATTATGGTCCATCAAATGAAATTGGCCCAAAATGGCCCTACACGCCATTATGTCGATCAGGTGCTATCTAACAAATTTCATCAAATTTAAATCATACAAAATTCATCATTACATCTTTTATTTAAAAAAGTCCAGTACATAAAAAAAATGAGATAAATATTGTCTCAAAAATAAAATATATAATATTTAAAATAATATAAAAATGTGAGATCAAAGAATAATATAGTAAAGAATGGTTGCGTTTTTTTTGAATATTACAGTTATTAGAAGAGTGATTATTGGGATAAGATAACTAACAACATAGAATATGAAGAAAAAATGAAATGAAAACTAAACTCAAATTCAAATGAAATTAAAATGAAAGAAAAGGCTATAAATACACATGAAGCAACATACACACAGTTTATGCCAAACCCAAACCACGTTCTATATTCTAAGGAGTAAGAAAGAAAGAAAAAAACTTAATGGAATTGCACTTACTCATCTTATTATTATCGTTATTGTTATAATCTTCTTGGATTTGTTTGATTCTGCTTCACTTTGCTACAACCGTCGCTAAATATCATGGCGAAGGGTCGCAAATTCAGCGCGAACCGAAACGAGCGTTTGTTAGGAACAAACTATATCCAAAGCTCTACTGTTACTCGTGAAGTAACCGATTTCAGGGAAGAAGATGTGTGGTCCGTGGTGGACGATCGTGATCGTGACCGTGATGTGGATTTCTCTCCCGGCGAGTGGGATTCACGCGCGGCTTCGTGGAGTCGGGAGAGAGAGCTGGATCATCGCAATTTTGGTGGTTTGTCGCAGGCGTTTGAGGATTCCGGGAGTAATGTTGCCACGACGACTACTTCGAGGATCGTGCATCACCAGTACCGTGCATCGCTGGGACGTAACGTGGCTACGTCAGCGCCGGTGAACGTGCCTGACTGGAGTAAAATACTCCGGGTTGAATCGGTGGAATCGTTGCGTGATATGGATGATGGTTTTGATGATGACGAATCGGAGATGGTTCCGCCGCACGAGTATTTGGCGCGTGGCCGGAAAATGGCGGCAAACTCGGTTTTCGAAGGCGTGGGTCGGACTTTAAAGGGGCGTGACTTGAGACGGGTTCGTGATGCTGTTTGGAACCAAACCGGGTTCGATGGTTGAGATGGACCGGTTTAATACAATTCTATTCAACCGGATTAATTCATGTTTGTTGCTATCATCAACTTGTGTCAGTTAAAAAATTTGGGGAAAAATTAGTTTCGTTTGGTTTTGTTTCAATTGGATGGGTGGGTTTTTTTTTGGACCCGGTTTATAAGAATCTAATGCCGTGGCCAGTGAGCTTAATTAAGCAAGTTAATGTTTGCAATTAGAAGTTGGAATTTGGATTAAGTTGGTCTGAGTATGAACAATGTAATCCCGTTTTTGGACATATATATTATACTATGATTTTTTTGTTATTATAGAGATATACTCAAAAAGTAATTTATATTTTTTAGAATAAAATATAAATAAATATCAATAATTTATCTCATTCAAACTTATATGTTAGAATTTTTAAAATATATTTTATTTTTACTTTTTATATTTACAACAAATAAATTTATTAGTAATAAAAGGTGATTCAAATAATTGAGTTGTTTAAAAATAATGATAGTCTATATTCAAGATATATCATTAATCCAACGGGCTGTTGATTTTAAAAATAAAATAGCAAGAGTTTTTATATATAATATTCTAAATTTTAAATGAGACGACGTTGTTTAGAGTTAAAATTAAATTTTAGTAAATTGATCTTTGTTTTCTTACATTTAAAAAAGTTATAATAAAGAAATTCGTTACTCTTTAAATTGAAATATTTTGAAATGAATGAAATTTAATTAAATATTTAAATTGTCAAAATCTTAATTTTCTTAAAAGTGAAAATGTCTTCTAAAAATATTACTTTACGAGATTTAATATTTAATTATATATTAAGGGATTTGAGTTCACTCAATTTGGATTAAATATTATACTGTACATGTGTGGTATCTTTGATTTAATTGGTGGTTTATGACTGCCAAATAATATTCGAATATATATTGGAACCAAACAACCAGTGAAGCATGAAATATAGTTTGACTCATGGGGGAAAAGGTGTCCCGATTTCAAAGGGAACTTCAGTTGGTTGGTTCTTATGCAAATAATGAGAATCACATATATTCCTATATTATTATTGCCTTTTTGAAACAATGACCTAATTTTTTCTTTTTATTTAAATGTTTAAAATTTTTAAAAGATATTGATATTGTATGTTCATTTAAAAATGCATCTTCAATCTCATGTTTTTAGAGTTTTTTATACAATGCTGCAAAAGTCATTTAAGATAGATTTTTCTTTTTTGATATTGTTGTCTTTTTCGATTGTCATTCTCTTATAAAAGATCTAAGAATTTAAAATTGAGATCATCTTTAGAAAAAGTCTTACCAATCGTCATTTATATCCTAAACAATTCATACTCTTGACATGATGTGTTCAGTTTTGATCTTTTCACTTTCACGGTTCCTTCATGAGTGACTTCTAATATATCCCATATTTTTTTCGCCGTTGTGCATTAAGAGACACAGAAGAATTCATCCATGCTTAGTGTTGCTTGAAAAAGATTCTTTGGTTTCTTGTAAAATATAACCTTTTTTTTTATCATCTTCATTCCATGAACTTTTATTCTTTGGTGTACCAACCCTATTGCCAATGCTTGTAGGAACAAATAGACCATTTTCTATCGTATTTCAAACTTCTTCTCCTTGTGCTTCAATATGTGCTTTCATGCGGATCTTCCGGAAATCATAGTATTCACCCAGAATAAAGGAGACTTACTGTTACTGTCACCGTCTCTAAAAATCAGATTTGCAGATGTCATTTCTAGATATTTAGGAACAAGGTACATATAACATGCTCTGATTCCAATTGTAAGTATTGAGTGCAATCTAGGGGGGGGGGGTTGAATTATATTTTCTGGTAGTTTAAACGATGGTTCTTATGTTCTTATTTTTCTTGTAAGACCTTTTACTGAAAGTGCAGAATTTAAAAGTAGAAAAATAAAGAACACAATGATGTATACTTAGTTCTCCTTACCAACCAAGGGTACATCTAGTCCCCTCACACCTCATGGGAGATTTTGACTATTGTTAGATCCTCGTACAAGCCTTACACCAAGACTCCTCCTACAATCTTCTAACAGTAACAAAGAAACAAATCACTTCCTTGATTTCACAAACACCAAACCTATGGTAGATTTTGAGTCACTTTGATATTCACAAAAACTAGAAAGCATATCACTTTCTGTTTACAAAATAAATCACCATACACTTGGTGTTTAAATATACCTTTTGCACAAATATGAATATATGATAAGAGTCGTTGCACTTTAATCAATTCTTGTATAAAGATTGATCTTCTCTTCCAATGAACAATTCAAATATAATACATCTAGATTGCTCAAAAAAAATTTCTTACTAATATGAAAGTTATGTAGAAAATGTTTCATATAAAACAAATTTGAATTGATGTAAAAATTTGAGTGAAAGAAGTGATTTAAAATCCGAAATTTCTTCCTTTAAATATAATGTAAGATGTTTCTAGAATGAGTAGCAATGATTGGAAAAATTCATGATTCATTTGGAAATGATTTAAAAAAAGGTATGATGAATCAATGCATTGAAAAGGTATCATAACAGTTTCAGAATTTTCAAAAAGTGGCAGGTGTAACCGGTTGCTTAAAAAGCTCAACCGGTTGTACTTTTGAAAAATGCTTTGAAAATATGAATGTTGAATAACATGCAATCGGTTGCATAATTTTGCCAACCGGTTGCACTTTTGAAAAATTCCTTGAAAAGACTTGGACAAATCCAAAATGCAACCGGTTGTACTTTTTATGCAACCAGTTGCATTAAGTATGAAAATTTTGGACAGAGGTAAAATGCAATCGGTTGCACTATTTATTCAACCGATTGCATCCATAGAAAATAACATTTGTTCACTTTAAAACTTCATGAAATGAAAGTGTATGCAAAAAGAATGTTTAGAAAACTTTAGTGCATAATGAGATAAAGTTTCTTGAGCATCTAAAGATTATATAAACATTTGAACTCCATTTAAGTACCTTGACCAATCCCCCAATTTGTTTAATTCTAAATCTCATTCAACTTGATACTTTGATTACAATATTTTGATTCTTTGATCTTTCTTCTAAGATATATTTTTGTCTTCATCAAAACCAAGCTAATAAGATGAACACATCTTCTTCACATATTTGTCCATCCATTTTTCTCTCCAGATTAAATAGTCTTAACACCGCTGACAATCATGTAAAATTTATGGATCCTAGATGAAACAACCATTCCTTGTCACTACATAAAATATCATACACACGGGCTTTCATAAAAGTGTATTCTCCAATATCACTGATAATATCTTCTTGTAGATCATCCATATCTACGTAAACTTTATCTCTATGTGACACATTTGGATTTTTATCCACTTCACCATGCCACATTCATATTATATAATGTTGAGTATTTCATTACAACATAGATGATTGAACTTACCTTCTTTTAAAAAAAATCATATTTCCGCATATAACACAAGGACAATAATATATTTTATTATTTTTATGAAGTTTCCTTTAAGTGAATCAAGAAATTCAACCATTTTCTCATACTCTGAACTTAATCTATTAGTTCTCATCCAACTATGATCCAAAAATACTCTAAAAATAAAATCAAAATACTTGTAAAATCATGAATTTTTAATGAACACTTTGCTAAGTTCAAAATTATATAATAAAAATATTTCTAAGTAACATTGTAATAAATCAACACTTGTATTAAATTAAACCTTCAATCTCAACAACAACATAAAACATTCAATCTAAATAACAACAAACTGCTTGTGTTGGAATTTCGCAAACAAATGCGAATTTATATTAATACTTAAGGAATCAAACTCGAAAATCTTCAAGACATATTTGTGTGTTATTTTTTTTTAAATGAGGGTGGTCTTCGAAGTTAACGCAAACCTCTGGGACGACTTTGTGATCGCTCGAAAAGACAAGCCAAAACGCCAATAAAATGCAAGGTAAGATAAAGTAAAAAGCTCGAAGTTAAAATGAGGAAGAAGTAAAGTTTGCTGAAAAGATAAAGGCAGTCAAAATAAAGTGCGAGGAAACGTAAAGACAATTGAAATAAAAAGGGTTTGAATGGGTAAAAAGAAAGAGTTTTTAAAGATAAAAATGTTGGAATGTATTAAATTGGTGGAGTACATACGTACATTTTCCTCACTTGTTTCTCACAACGTAGGTGCTTTGAGTGTGACGAAAATGTGTGCAATTTGCGGACCCCTTACAAAATAAACCTAAGTTGCTATATATATATATATATATATATATATATATATATATATATATATATATATATATATATATATATATATATATATATATATATATATATATATATATATATATATATATATATATATAAGTCTAAGATAAATGTACAAGACTATTAAACTATCTCCATGATGACACGTCTTTAAATCATGTAGCGATTTTCTTCCCGACGTGCCCCATGTTCTAAGTAATCGTCAACGCTGATGTAGTAGTTCCCACCTTATTCTTTCTTTTGAATATTTCAACTATTTTGCTAACACCAATAACTAGAGACCGTTGTCGAAACCTTCGACGTCGAACATGTCTCGACGTATCGTCTATTGTAGTGATAAACTCTTTGCCAATGTGACATAGTGTTCAGTTTCACTATGTGGCTAGTATAGCATAGCACTCAATTTTACTAAGTCCTCATGCTTTTTATGTTCTTCGACCATGCCACCTACGACCAGTATCACCTTGGGTGATTTTCGACCTTGAGTCATGTTGACTTGTCCTATTTTTATCTCCCACGTGGCATATTTATGGCTAGTTTCATGGACACTTTCCATTTATAACTAGGTCAAAAAATCCAGTGTAACAAATTTCCCCCCAAAAGGCCATGTTTCGATTTGCATCAAACAAGAGAAACGTGTCCTTTTTATCATAATTTTTTGACGTCGTTTCTTTTTTGATGACTTCATCATCATCATTACACTTTTCGGTGCATTGTCACTTCCAAGAGATTCGCTCAGAATCT